GGATATGTAATTGGAAGCGAAAAACTTCCATTTCCATATTGATAGAGTATACTGATACTATGGTTTCCGTAATTGGCTATGGCAATATCAAGTAGTGTGTCATTGTTGAAATGAGCACCGATAATCGCAATGGGACGAGAGGAGCCTGTTGAAAGTTGTGTTTGATTTGCGAAAGACCCATCGCCAAATCCATGAAAAATAACGATATTGTTAGTGCCGAAATTCGCTACTGCGATGTCCAATCGCTTGTCATTGTTGAAATCAGCAACTGTGACCATGTAAGGACTAGAGTAGGAACCTGTTGAATACGTTGTTGGACTTTTAAAACTCCCATCGCTATTTCCCAAGTACACAGCTATTTTGTTCACTAAATGATTGGCAATAACCATATCCAAAACGGTGTCATTATCAAAATCACCAATGGCGACCGATCGTGGACCGTGTTTGTATTCAATTGGTTTTTGAGCCGTTGGTCTGAAATTGAGACGGCATTTCGGAACTAAACAATACATGAAACAGAATGGGATTACTGACTGTTTTCTTCGGTAGAGCTATCTATTTTTGATTGTTTCCAACTATCGAAATTCCTATAGAATGCTGTCAGACTTTATCGTTGGGCTTTATGAAGACAAAATTCATAAGTCTCATCTTGTAAAAGAACTCTGATTAATTTCTTGGAATTCAGATAAAGTTAAATATGGAAACCTATCAATCAAGCCACTTTTCGGTTTTCATCTTCTCATTTACTGTAGAATTTATTTCAAAACTGTGCTGTGCAACACTGTTGCAGAATCAAACGGATATCAAAACTGTTCTATTGTGTAATCCTTCCAGTAATCCAATCAGTAGTTTGGATTAGTAATTTAGAGTAATAAACAGAATATAACAAAGTCTGCGACGAATGCGTAAAAATAACAACGAGCAAAATTGTGACGATCGAGAAGGGAATGTGAATCTACTGGCTGACAAACCATGTATGAAGACGATCTACCTTAATTAGTGCATTTGTCAATAATTCTGTCATAGGGGCAACGCATGTTCACCAATATTTTTTGAGTGACAAGCATGGAACTATTTATCTCTCCTGCTTTTTCGTATAGTAGGCAATCAATGATTTCTATCAATCTGTTCAATCACAACTAATGTCCGCGCCAAAATGAAAGAAGGATTGGTGTAAGCTCAATAACTCGGCAAACGCAATAGCTAGCGACCTGCGGTTTTCACCAATCGAGAGAGGAAGAGTTGGAATGTCTTTTTCTTCGATCATGCATAGGACGAAATCCTTTTAAAACTAATCATATTCGAAAAACATGCAAAAGAACTCATGAAAATGACCTGCCAGCTAGATGAAATTTTGATTTTAACCTTTTATTTGGATAGAGGGACTTGAGATCTATAGCTCAAGATACAATACAAGTGGATGTCTTATTACATTCTAACGTTGAGCAAATGGAATCATGTACTTACATGCGCA